GGGGTCATTACCCTAAAATTTCAGCTTTATCAAAATTACCTTAGCAGCGCGTGTCAGTCTGTCACCCGATTCGCCCACACAAATATTGAGGCATAATTTTTCAATTTTCAACTCCCTCATCGGATTTGCCGCTTTTTTTTCGCGGATTTCAGCCAGCTCTTCCGCTTTTACCATTTTCAAATCCTGTAAAAACGAGTAAAATAACTGGCACCGCAACAAAAACTACTGCTTTATTTGCGTTTCCGTTTAAATATCCTTCGAGCGGAGTTGTTTCTTGGCCCAGAGAGGCCAAAAATTACTTCCATTTTGGGGAAAAGAAACTCAAAAATGTACGTAACGCAAAACGCAATGAAAAACCCGTTATTATTAGCAAAGGACTTCCCTATTTATGAAACTGATGCTTAGGTAAAACTGAAAGATCGAATAGCTGATGTTTGGGTGAAGCTGAGAGCATGGGTTTTTTGGCACTGTTGTAAAGGAGCAAAAAGTTGCGACAGGGCCTGTGGGTACAACGGAAAAGCGGTCTAGGCTTCAACGAGTTGCCGATAGTGCAAGAAAAATCTGAACAAAATACATCAAGGACGCTAATATTGCCCCGGACAAATCAGTGGTGCTTAAAGCGAAAAGTGGAAAGGCTCACGGAAATGATGGCATTAACTGATCAGATCCGAATGGCACGAAGTTTATAAAGCTCTTGCCATTCGGTTCAATTGGTACTTGGCCAAAAAAAACTATCTGTGTCAGTGGTGTTGTTGAGATATCCCCTTAAAATTTTAGCCTTCCAGCTCTTCTGGTTGCCGAATTAGTAATTTTCTCCTGCTAGATGCTACTGGACTATACTGATGTGCCTTCCACCATGCTGCATTTGGTCAGTGTTTACAGCTAAGGGATGAAACAGCAGACTGCTTCCTAAAATTTCTTCTTGCACACGGTCCCTTATCTCTGATTCTGATATTACAAAAATTGAAAGACAAAGAAACCCGTTATTACTAGCAAAGAACTTCCCTATTTATGAAACTGATGCTTAGGTAAAGCTGAAAGATCGAATAGCTGATGCTTAGGTGAAGCTGAGAGCTCTGAGCTAAGATACCTCATCATCGGGAACTGGGACTGCTGCAGCCAAAAAGCAGCGCAGCGGATGAGGGTAACGTGGAACTTTAGCGCAACCGATGATGCACCAGGAAGAGAGGGTTATTTTTTGAATGAGGGATAAAGGAGCATTTTGCATATGCGTAGGAAAGGATCAACGGTGAAATAGGGGAGGTGGGACAGCGTGTCCAAACAATTCTCGACTTCACAGACGGGACCTTTTCACGGGGTCCACGGACGTACCAGAATTAATCCCCAAGGATTTCAACGAATCAGGAAAAACTACCCTATCGGACGGGAAAAACTACCCAACCAGACGGGAAAAACTCCCCTACCAGATGGGAAAAACTACCCAACCACGCTACCTCTCACCGACGCGCACCACCATCAACCCCGACCGATCTCACTGTGAACCACGGTATCCAGAAAATACGGTCCGTTCAAGCTGACGACTGTTCCCAGTTCGATCAATAACCGGCTGGCTTCTTCCAGGTACCATGGGGGGGGGGGTTCTGGATTGCGGGAAAACGAAGCGCATAGGGGAGGGGGGGGGAACAAGGCCTGTCCCCTTAGCAAGTACTCAGCCCCTTCCCGTTTGGCAATTTTCCCAATTTCTTCGAGTACAATACTCCATCGGCCAGAAGTCAGTGTGCTGCTAACGCTGCTTTCGTCTCCTGAACGGATTACCTCCTCTTAAGCGATTTTCGTGCTAGAAACCCTTGGCAAGGCTTTTGGTCGAGTGGTATTTGTCTTAAAAGTACTGGTGGGTTGAATTAGATTGGTTTGTGGGCGCCTTTTTTTACCCCACTCAAATTTAGATGGAAAAATATGATAGGGTTGGAGCGAGAAGACAAAAGCAAATAATGTCAAAGAAATTAGTAAAAATTATAAAATAGAAGAATAGAAGGATTTCACTGTTGAATGTAATGTGTGTATATGAAGATCGAAACATTTCTTACCTAATTTATTACTTCTTCTTTTTACATCTTTCCCCTTTTTACTCTTTTTTGACCTTTTCTATCATCAATTTCTACATTTTCTAACAAAATTTTCAATTAACTTTAAATTTTATGACGCAGTCTCTCTGTGTTTCTCATCCCTTAGCTGTAAACAAATCTTGTAAAATATTTTATAAATTGGTAAGAAATGTTTCGGTCCATTAAGTCGTATTACAATCGCTTTTCACGTCCTTGTCAACGGACTTATGTATTTTAGTTATTGCCCCAGTCAGCTGGGTCTTTTTCGGACCTCTGTCCAGTCGGCTTTTTTAAACCCTTTTCGTGGCCGAAGGAGGTGGATGATCTTCCCTATAGTCCCCTTGGTACCCCACACAGCAAAAGATCAGTCAGAAAGCACAGCTGATTTTACCCGTCACATAGCCGATTTTAGGCGCTCATACAAGACACATTCTGCGTCCATTTGGTCAGCTTTCGCGCCAAGTTGATCACTCCTCGTGCCATTTTACGCAAATTCACACCCATTTGGCTAAATTTGTTGTTTTCCCGTTACTTAGCTTGTTTTTGGCACTTATATGACATATTCCACGTTCATTTGGTCAGTTTCCGCGCCCCCAGTTGGTCAGTCCTGGTGCCATTCTACGCAAATTCATATCCATTACTGGCTAAATTTTACCCGAATTCTACGTCATCTTGGCCAGATTTTGTGCTAGTTCGGGTAATTTTCACGTCCATTTAACTAAATTTTGAAGGCTGCAATTTGTTTGTGAATTAAATTTCACGTTTATTCGGTTCAATTGTTGCATCGTTTTGGCAAAATTTCACGTGAATTTTTGCCAAATTTTGCGTCTGATCGGCTTAATTTTGCTTATTTTTGCTTAAATCTTGCTTCATTTTGCCGAATTTCTCGTCTTTTTGGAGTTTTGATCTTTTTAAGCAATAAAATAAGCTGATGATTCTTTCTTCCCTTCCCCAGCCCTTTGAGGCTGTGCCACTGAGTCCTACTTCCACTCGCAACCTACTATCTTGTGTTTACAGCTAAGGGATGAAACATAGGCCGCATACTGGCACATCGTCGTGAACGGAGTCCGTTTGCAAAAACTGTTGTGATCTGGTAGGGGATCGAACCAGCCTCTTCACTTCCAGAAGCGACGTGCTATCCCCTACACCACCGGCTCTTTTGCTACCGTCTATCATCTTTCAAGGCGAAATACACCTTTCTTTTCCTGGTTGCCCGCCAAGATAGATTTTCCTTTGTAGTGACTTCTTTGTGGCTTCTTTGCTGGCTTTTCGTGGATTTTCCGCTGCGCGTGTTCCTTCATCCTTGCTACTGCATTACGTTCCTCGAGTATTGCCGAACAGTGGGAATTGCAGATGCGGTGAATGATGTTGACGACATTGGTCGAGAACACATTCCTGAGCGCTGTGTGCGGTGAGATGACCGAGGATGAAGCGGCCGATCGCATTGCTGACGTCCTCTGCGCCGCCAATATTGCT